CAGGTCGAGCTCTTGTTCACCATCTTAGCTGTAGAGGGCAGTGTCACTGGCCCTCATGTGGGATCCAAACCAGGGCCCTGCTGCTCAGAGTTGGCGTCCCAAGCGAACTCTTAACCAACGCGCCACTCGGCCGGCCCTTCATGTTGTTTTTTAATTTCCTTACTTGACTTGGTCTCTTAAGCTTTTCCTCTTCATATCTGCCATCTTATTTTTATTTAATCTTATCTTCTTTGCCTTTCCTTCTGAGAAATTTAGAGTTATAGAAGACACAGAGATCCAGAACAGAAAAGGAGATAGAAAGTTGAAGTGATTATAAAATTATTTCTTCTTGTGAAATTACAAGGACTGTTAGAGTTCAAATAGAGTGGAAATTATTATAGGAAGACTTACGATTCCTTGTTAGTCTTCCTTAATCTCCTTGATCTTAAGCCCAAATTGTTTCAATGCATGTTTTGTAAAGATTCAAATGTTTGCAAATTTTTTATGACATCCTAGTGAACAATTAGGGCTTTTTTTTCATTGGAAGTCTACTAATTTGATTTTGAGGGATAATCCTTTGCTCGAGTCATTGTGTCTTGAATACAACTGAGTAAAACTAGATCTTTGCTGGGAAGTGCAGGAGATGTGAAAAAAAATCAGTCTAATACAGTATTAATTACTAGTCTTAATGATTCTGAGGAATGTGAATCCTATTTCAAGGAAATTATTCAAATTGACAAATGTAACCAAGGATAAATAGTATATTAAAAAATGAATGTTCTAATTACTCTTCCCTGTGCTAATATTAACCCTTGATTTAAAAAAAAAACATTGATTTTTTAAAAAAAATCTCCAATTAAACCTCTACTTATGGCATAATTAGAACTTTTCCCTGTTTTTGTCACCACCAGCCCTATAGCAGCATTTAGCCATTTTTAAATGTCCAGTAAATACCTTCTAGTCCTTAACCATTAAAAAAATTAAGTTGAAGTTATCCTGAAACAACAGAAATGAAAGTGCTGAGTGTTTACATACACAGATAGGATAATATGTAGAAAGCCCCCAAACTTCCCTGTCTTCTCCATTAATGATCTAAGTTTTGTTTACTCATTTAATTATATCTGATTCTATAATCTTATAGAACCACAGTTTCATTAATGAACCCCAAACAAGCATTGTCAAAATTTTTACCATGACACTCTACCACTTATTAAACTCTTTTAATTCATTTAAGTCCATGTCTCAGGTATTTTGGGTAACCATGTATGGGATCATTGAAATCCACAGATAGTGGATATTTCTAATCATTAATTTCCCCCCTTTTTTACTACAAAATGTCTCTTCAGTGTTATAATATTATCAAGGAATAAATTAGATTAGGACTTGACCTCCTCTACAAAAGAACTGCATCTCGCCCAGTTCAGAAGTCACATGACTCACATCCATGAGGTATATAATATTAAAATTAGACTGTCAGCATTTACATATTCAATTTTTCTGGCCCCATCAAAGCTGAGTGCCTCCAAAATCTCAAATCTGTGACATTTGAAGAGGAAATGGAATCAGATTTCTGATTTGCAATTAACAGAATTTCTAATTTGTATAATTAGAAATTTAGGCTTCTAATTGTGCAAACTGTCATGGCTGCTTTGAGGCAGCTAAAATTTAAAAGATGACAGTGTAGCTATATAATGTTAAAGTTGAATGAAACACCCTGTTTTATCTAAGTTCATTTTATTAGCTTACAGTTATGATTCTTGGGGGTGGGAGAGTATATTCTTGCAGACAGCAGGACCGCTCTGAGCAATATGATATCTGTCTAGAATCTTAACCTCATAAAGCTCAATAGGTGTTTAGGGCATCCCCTACTACACCTTCATTTAGGAAAACTGTCCTTATTGAAAGAAGCCTGTGTGTAATTTGCCCAGACAAAAAGGAATTAAAAATAATAATAGTGTGTTTTGAGTGATTACCACATGGAAGCATTGGGATTAGGGTTTAATATGCATTATCTTAAGCTCCGTGTGACAAAAGTCCTATGATTAAGTATCTCCATTTTCCACATGAGAAAGCACATTCTCAAAGAATGTAAGTAAATTGCCCAACATCAAGTTGCCAGTTAGAGGTAGAGCCAGGTCTCTTTGACTCCAGAGCCTGAGCTCTTAACCAGGAGTTTGTTGTAATTTGCAGATATTCCGGACAACTAGTTGACATTGCCTCTTTACCTACTGGCAGACAAGGAGAATGCCTTACCGTTAGCAGTGTTCTCATTTCAGCTTTGTAAAATTATTCTCTCTTGAGATACATATTATATTTCTTTTGCAGCATCAGTTTATTCTATCAGTAATTTATTATTTTTTGATTATATTCTTAAAATATTACTGTATAATATAAAAAAGATAACTTATTCTACTACTAAGTAAAGGTTAAGTTCTTGAGGATATCAGTACACCTACATTTTATTTGAGATAGTCACTTAGAGGACAGAGGAAGATGGGATCAATGGGTGGGGAAAAAATGCAACACTGACTTCTTTACTCAGCAGTCGTCCGTTGAAGTCTTACTTGCCTTTCTCTCTTTTCTTTATCCCCAGAAAATTCGTCATTGTTTTTCAGTCTCAGAAACTGTTATTGTCACTAAAAACTAAAATAGTAATGAATTCAGAGACCAGTTTATTTTAAGAAAATTTCTGTTAAATTTACATATAGTCCTTTTCAAATAGGTACTTATTTTAATTGTAGGAAACAAAGTACATTAACTATCATCAAGTTTAAGATGACTAAACCTATCATCAGGACTCAACATATTGAAGATATTTATTCTCCCCAAAGTGATATATAAGTTTAACTCGATTCTTAAAATCCCAGCATGAGTTTTCACACATACATTTATTTCTACAAATTTATATGGAAAGGCAAAGGAATTGGAACAGCTAAAACAATTTTTAAAAAAGAAAAATAAAATGGGAGGAATCACTCTACCCAATTGCAAGACTTACTATATAGTCATCCTACTCAAACTGGTATTGGCAGCGGGATAGGCATAGAAATCAATAGAACAGAATAGAAAACCCAGAAATAGCCCCTCACAAATATATCCAGCTGATTTTATTTTCACAAAGATGTAAAGGCAATTAAAAGGAGAATAGATTGTCTTTTATCAAAAAGTACAGGAGCAATTGGATGTTCACAGGCAAAAAGCACCTCGATGGAAAGCTCATACCTTATACACAGATGAACTCAACGTGGATCGCAGATTTAAATGCAAAGTACAAAACTTTAACACCTTTAGAAGGAAACTCTTGAGGACCTAAGGCTTGGTGAAGAATAATTAAGTAAGACACCAAAGCATGATCCATAAAAAATAAAATCGATAAGTTGGACTTCATCAAAATTAAAAACTTTTGCTCTGCAGAAGATGCAGTTAAAAGGATAAGACAAAAGATTCATATGTAAGCTATGTAAAGCACTGTTAAAACTCAACAGTTAAGGAAACAATCAAATTCAAAAATGGGCAAAAGACATGAGGAGACATTTCACCAAAGAGAATACACTCTCTTTAATATTGGCAAATGAGCACATGAAAGGATATTTAGCATCACTTGCTATTACGGTTGTGCAGATTAATACTTTGATGAGTTATCACTACATACTTATAAGAACAGCTGTAATAAAAAATAGTAGCAATATGAGATGCTGGTGATGATGCAGAGAAACTAGATCTTTCACACACTGTTGGCAAAAATGTAAAATGGTGCAGACACTCTGGAACATGATTTTTGATAGTTTCTTTAGAAACTAAACATATATTTACCATATGACACAGCAATCACACCCCTAGGCATTTATCCCAGTAAAACGAAACTCACATCCACATAAAAACATGCACTGATTGTTCATACCAGTTTTATTTATAGTAGCCACAAGCTGTACCAGCCAAATTGTGCTACTATAGATAAGTGGTTAAACAAACTGGTACATCATACCATGGAGTACTATATCAGCAATAAAAAGGAATTCACTGTTGATACACACCACAACTTGGATTCATCTCAAAGACATTATGCTGAGCTAAAAAGCCAGTCTCAAAAGGTCACCTACTATATGATGCCCTTTATATAACATTCTTAGAATTA